AGGTTGGGCAATCCTACTTCCGTAGTGATACTGCCTCGGAAACCCAAGGAGGGGTCGCTAGGAGTCGGGGCCGACTCGACGGCACATGACAACAATGACTATTAGTGTTAAGTATTTTTTTACCTTTTTATGCTTGTTGGTTGTTTGTGTTTCTTTGGTGAAATGTCTATTCAGATATTTGCCTATTTTATAATTAGGTTGTTTGCCTTTTTTTCTTGAGCTGTAGGAGTTCTTTATATATTCTGGATAATGAACTCTTAACAAATCAGGAAATCTCATTAAGTTATCAATATTTTTGCAGAATCATTCAGCATGTAAAAAAATTGTTAATTTCTCTGTGGTGCTTTGCAAAAATGTCTTATAATCCTCAGTTTGGGTTTAGTGAGTTATATGGGAAAGAAGTCTTAGGAAAGCAGTTCTTAAACATGAGACAGCTGTTAGGTTGGCTCTCATGTCTGTTGATTTAGTCAATAAGGAAATAAGTCCAAATAGATTTAAACAATTCATTACTTCGTGGCACAGAAGTGCAGCATGAACTTCATGTTCTCACTGGTTCCCCTTTCCCGCTAATTCTCAGTGGGGCAAGGCAGTGGTGGTTTGTGTCAGAGCTGAGGAACCCTGAGTTTATGAATCCCTTAGTATTATAAAGGAACAGCTACCAAACTTACCCAGCGCCTCCTTGCCTGAAAGGAAGATGTTATCTTTGTTTCAGTTGCCACTGAGCCCATACTGACTCATGGTAACCCCCTGTGTATGCGGCATAGGGTTTTCACTGGCTGATATTTTGCAAGCAGATGACCAGGTTTTTCTTTTGAGATGCCTCTGGATGGACTTGAGCCTCCAACCTTTCCGTTGGCAGCTGAGTGTGTTAACTATTTGTACCACTCAGGTTCTCCATTTTCTTTATACTGGTCAGGAAATAAATCTGCTTTCTGACTGGGAGGGAGACACTCTCTCTAGTTTCCAAACATGTTTGCAAATATTCTTGAAAATATTGTCCAAGACAAAAACTACCTCCTAGAAAAAAGAAAACTAGTTTGGCTTTTTATGGGATTATGAGGCATTCTGTAATGTAACTCTTTTTCTTTCCCACCACAAACACTTCCACTTAAAACAGAGCTGTCATCTAGCTCAAAAATGCCAAAATTTATAACACTGACCTTCCTAAAATTAAAAAGATACTTTTTAAAAAATTAATAAGATTAAAAACTAAGAATGAATGAAACTTGGATATCAGTTTTAGACAAATGAGCTTTATTTATGATTGTTTTTCATAACAAGTAATAATTCCAATTTATTAAGTTTAAAAATATAACATGGAATTTTTACATTATTAACATGAACATCTATTTAAAATGGTTTTATTTTGGGGACTTTTTTGTTTTGTGAATATGTAAATGAGCTTTTTTTGATTTTGTGTAGCAATGTCCAAAAACCTTTTTGAAAAACTTTTAGAATCTAAGGTTGTTTAAAATAAGTACGACAACGTTTCGTCAAGTAATTTATAGAGAAAATAATTCCATGTGGTATGAGTACGTCTGAAGATTTTTGGTTGTAGATGGAGTCTTGCTTAAGGATTACCAGTGGTTTTCCAGCCCTAACAGAATAATTTCTTTTCAGAATCTCTAGGGCTGCGTAGTAAAGTGCTGAGGAAAATTGAAGAGCTAAGGACAAAGGTGAAATCTCTTTCTTCTGGGATTCCTGATGAATTTATATGTCCAATAACTAGAGAACTTATGAAAGATCCTGTCATCGCATCAGGTATGTGTGATGTTGTACTAAGATTTAGGGCATATTATGTGCTAAATGAATAAATAATGTAGACATTTCACGAATGTTTTTAACTGTGAAGAATTTTTAAAATTCTTATTTTGATTTTGATTTAGTTGGTTTTGTTTTTTTCCTTTCAAAAAATTCATTATACTTGAGGAGAACAACTGAACATTATATATGTCTTAACAAGTAAAATTGGAGAGTAGGTCTGAATAGTAACAGACACAAAAGGAATGTTTCATGAGTGTTACTTAAACTTCTGAAATGTATATTTAGTTAAAATGTAAAAGATAGACTATTGAGATCTGTTATTTTTATTTTATATATATAAAATGTAAACAACTTTACAGAAACAAGAATTTAAAGATTATAATATATCACTTCACATTAATTTCCAGTATTTTTCATAATTTTAATTAGTGAATCCATGATATTTTTATTTTAGCCTGAAGCTTTATAATATACATTTGTGAATATTGAATTAGTCAACATCACTTTATTATTAATAGCTTTTATTCTATTGTAGTTCTGTGCTATATTTTGCTTGATTCTTGTATTATTTGCTATGTGTCTTATCAAAATTTATATTGTAAATGGCAGTACAGTGGTATCTTGGTACACATTTTTTTCTGTTGTTACTATTATTTTGGATCATTTTCATAGTCTGTGTGCCCAAAAGTAGAATTAACTATTCAGAGACTTTTATGAACATGAGGAAAAAACAGTTTTGATAGCTCTTACTACATTTGTAGTTAGGCTGTTTTCTAGGAAAAAAGAAACCAGTTTAGAATGTTACCAGCAATATATTTAAGTGTACTGTTTTTCCGTAGTTTTGTGATCACTGAATTTCATAACTTCATTTATGTTCTGGTTAGCAGTCAAATGCCTTAGGCACTACACCACCACAGCTCCATATATATATATATATATATATATATATATATATATACACACACACACACACACACACACACACACCCCACACACACACACGTATATTTTAAACATTGCTAGGGAGATAATACATTTTTTTCTGTGTGGTAATTTACTGTTTAAAAATTCTTGGGAATTAATCTTCTTTGATAAGGGACTTAGATACTATGTCCACGTTATTAGGGAACTAACCACATAGAGTCATGTATTTTTTTATTGTGAAAATATACACAATGAAACATTTGCCGGTTGAACAGTTTCTACATGTACAATTCAATGACATTGGTTACCTTCTTCATGTGTAACCCTTGTCGCTATCTTTTCCTAATATTCCATTCCCACTTTTACCCTCTTCCAATGCCTGGTAACCACTAACAATCTTTGGTTTTATTTATCTGTTTTTTTTCATATAAATGAGATCCATAAAGGATCTGTCCTTCTATGACTGATTTATTTTGCTCAGTTTAATTTTTCTTTTATAAATATTTTGTGTTTTTGGTGAAAGTTTACACAGAAAAATACGTTCCCATTTAACAATTTCTAAATATAATGTTCAGTAACCTAGGTGATATTTTCCACATTGTGTCGATAGTCTCCGTATTTCCATCCTGGTTGTCCTGCTTCCATTAATCCACCTTCCCTGCCCCCATTGATCTTCTCATCTGTGCTTTAGGGTAAATGTTGACCATTTGGTTTCATGTATATGATTTTGTTTGTTTTTAAAGGAGCACAGGAGTCATGGGTGATGTTGTTTTATGAGCTAATCTGTTATTTAGCTGAAAGGTGACCTCTGGGAGTAGTTTCAGTTTAAAGTTCAAAGCATATCTCAGGGCAGTAGTCTTGGGGGTTCCTCTAGTATCTACCAGTCCAGTAACTTTGACCCTTTATTTATTTATTCACTTTATAAGAATTAGTGTTTTTTTCTGCAGTCTTCTCCCATTCTGTCCAGGACCATCTATTATGTCCCTGTTGGTATGTCCCAGAACAGTTGGTAGTAGTAGCCAGTCACCACCACTTCTGGTCTCTGGATAGATGATAAAGATTACAGCCTTAGAAGCCCTCTGGGGTAGTTCTATTGTATTCTATAGGGTCAATAGGAGCTAGAATTGACTCAGCGGCATTGGGTTTTGGTTAATCTTTAGGGAAGCAGACTGACACATCGTTTTTTCTGTGGAGGGGCGGGTGGGTTGGAACTGCTGACCTCTGGTTAGCAGCTAAGTGCACCACTGTGCCACCAGAGCTCCTTCTGTAATGTAATAAGATACAGTGTTAATTTCCTATTGCTGCCATACACATTACCCCAAACTTAGTGGCTTAAAACAGCATTTCTGTAGGTCAGAAGTCCAGTAGTCTCACCAGGCTAAAATGAAGATGTTGGCAGGCTGCATTCCTTTCTGGAGGCTCCAGGGGAGAAACCAATTCAGGCTGGTGGCAGAATTCAGTACCGTGTGGTTGTAGAACTGAGGTTTCTGTTTTCTTGCTGGCTGAAGGCAGTTCCCAGTTCTGGTAGACACAATGATAGCTCTCCAGAAAGATGCTCATGTCTAACTCCTGGAACCTGTGATTATGTTACCTTCAATGGCAGAGGTGGCTTTGCAGCTCTGATTAGGTATGGGCTCTTGAGATGGGAGATTATCCTGGATTATCTGAGTGACTCTAGTGTAATCACAAGAATCCTTCAAAACAAAAAAGGCAGGCAAGAGCCAGCCTTAGAGATGTGCTGACAGCAGCAGTGGTTGGAGAGCTAGGCAGCTACAAGCCAGGGAATTCAGGCAGCCACTCTACAGTTGCTGTGGAGTCAGTTTTGGCTCATGGCAGCCCCATCTGTGTCAAGAGTAGATCTATGCCCCACAGGATTTTTTTTTTTTTTT